TATGAGAAAGCCATGTGCAAGTTTCTAATTTGCACACTTTACTTTACTTTTTTTCTAATTATATATTATATTGTTCTTCAGTTTTTCTATCCAAATTTCATATATAATTCATTAAAATATGATTAATTAGTTCTTGAGTTATAGACATTTGAAATTTTTGGAAATCATTATTAAAGAAAATTTGCGATAGTTACAGCAACCACAGACATTTCTAAAAAGAAAAATTAAAAATTAAAAAACCTTTTACCGGTCATGGCCATATTCAAAAGGTAGGCCTCTACCTATGTGTATTGAGACTTCTTGCTTCTACAAGTGTGTACATTTCTTCATTACATTGTGTACCATCACTTCTGAAACACCCTGTATAATGAAAAAGATGGGCCTCTACCTATGTTTATTGAGACTTTTTGCTTATACTAATGTATACATTTCACCATTACATTTTGTAGCATCACTTTTGAAACACCCAGTATAATGAAAAAGTGTTCATGTATGGATTCCGCGAAATTTCAAACATTTATAACTCAAGAACTAATCAACCGAATATTAATCAATTATATATGAAATAAGGGTAGAAAAAACTGCGTGGAAAGAATAATAGAATTAGAAATAGCCCGATATTTCAAAATTTGCAAAAGTTAGAGCAACCACAGACATTTCTCAAAAAATTCAAGATTTTTCAAAAAGAAACCCATTTACCGATCATCGCAAAAATCAATACCAACCTTCCTTTAGTGATTCTCGACATTAAAAAAAAATTAGGCCCGATATCTCAAAATTTACGAAAGTTAGAGCAACCACGGGAATTCAAATGCGTACATACACACACACACACACGCACGCACGCACGCACGCACGCACGCACGCACGCACGCACGCACGCACGCGCACACACACACACACATACAGACATTTTGTAAAAAAATATGATTTTTAGACGTTTTAAAACATTTTAAACATATTGCCAACGAAAACTGGAAAAAAAATTTTTTCACGGAAACAAAACTTCCTCTATGAGGAAGCAAAATGAGGTAAAGTAATACATACATATATGAAAGAAAAAAATACCATTGTAAAAGAAGAAGAAAATAAACATAAAACAACAATAGCAAAGAGTAAAAATAGAAGAAAAGGATAATGCTTAAGACGAGTATCGCGCGTAATGTATTGTTTTACAATAATATTACACAAAGTTCTGAATATACGGGGATAGGAAAGCTACATTTTAAGAGTAACTAGCTATCGTTATTCGTTACCAAGTAAAAAAATGTAACTCGTTACCGTTATAGTTACTGATTTTCAAAAGTAACTCGTTATCATTACCGTTACTTTAAAAAAACAATTAATTACTTTTTCCGTAATTTTTTAATTCTGAAATGAGATCAGACAAACTAAAACATTTACTTTTGTAATATTTTATTACTGACTGTATAAAAATATTAATAAAACGCTTTTTATTTTGAAATTGTCAAACCATGAAAAATTTAAGAAAATCAATTTTAAAACACTCAAAATGTAAATAAAAATTTTTATTTCCATGAAATATATAAATATAGCTAAAGTGTTTAATTGTATTCTCAAGTTTACATTCAAATTTTTGACGTAATAATTTGAAACATATCTTAAATATATAATATATAATGTGAAATATAACGATCTATGATAATAATACAGTATGAATATCGATTGATACATGACGATTGAAGATGTAACAATAAAAGTAATTGTTAAATTCATTACAGTTACTAAAAGAAATAACTACGTTACCGTTACAGTTGTAAAAAAAGTAACGTCCTAGGGCCCCAGTGTTTTTTCGTAATCCTGTATAAAATATTAAAAGAAATTTTATAAATATATGGAACATATAAATATTGTATGCTGTTTATTATTACATTTGATATATTACAAAAAGTATTAAATCGAAACTCACCAGTACCATGTTGTGCAAATAAATTTTTCATATATTTATTATATCCGTTTTTCTATTCGGACTTTCAAAGGTGTTTCCGTTGATAAAACTATGTCAAATTTTAATTTAATATTCTCTAATTTAATTTTTTTGTCAACTTTAAAAGAAAATGTTCTAATTAATGTTGCTAAAATAACTTTTGTACTTATTGCAGCATATTTCATTCCTGCAAATTTGTGAATTCATATATATAACAATTTTACTATATTTTATAATTTGTTTATGCTTACCAATGCAATTCCTTGGACCAGCACTAAAAGGAATATAGTATTGAGAATGGTTAATGTCCTCTCGAAGAAATCTTTCAGGATCAAATTTTAGAGGATTTGGCCAGTATTTGTCATTTCGATGAATATGAAAAATTGCAACGATAATATTTGCGCCTTTTGGTATAGTCTTGTCACCTAAAATTTTTATACAGAAAAATTATTACTACAGAAGCTTACTATAATAGCAATAATGTTAAGTAATACAACCAAAATTAATTATACAATTGATATATACAGGGTGGTCTAAAAGTCCCGGAACGGTTGAATATCCCGAGAAATTGTGGGTGGATCGGAAAACGGAAAAATACGTATTTCCTATTTTTGAAAGAGCTATCGAATGATACCAAAATTGACCCCCCCCCCCGCCCCTGTGGGTGGGGCGGGGGACAACTTTAAAATCTAAAATGGGAACCCCTACTTTTTATAACAGATTCGCATTCCACGTTAAAAAGTACGTAAGTTTTGTCTGAAACATTTTTTTATTTGCCTAATACTTTTTGAGATGTTCAAGAGAAAATTTATAACTTTTTCAATGTTTAGCTTATGATATTTCGATAACTGTTTGTCAGAGGGAAAAGTAGTACAGGACTTTTTTACTTGATTTGGTCTCAGGAATATGCTGTCGCAATAGTGCTCTAATTATTGAAAATTTTTATGTTTGTAAATTTGGTAGATGGTACAATACACAAAAATTTTCCATAATTGGAGCACTATTGCGACAGCATATTCCTGAGACCAAATCAAGTAAAAAAGTCCTGTACTACTTTTCCCTCTGACAAACAGTTATCGAAATATCATAAGCTAAACATTGAAAAAGTTATAAATTTTTTCTTGAACATCTCAAAAAGTATTAGGCAAATAAAAAAATGTTTCAGACAAAACTTACGTACTTTTTAACGTGGAATGCGAATCTGTTATAAAAAATAGGGGTTCCCATTTTAGATTTTAAAGTTGTCCCCCGCCCCACCCACAGGGGTGGGGGGGGTCAATTTTGGTATCATTCGATAGCTCTTTCAAAAATAGGAAATACGTATTTTTCCGTTTTCCGATCCACCCACAATTTCTCGGGATATTCAACCGTTCCGGGACTTTTAGACCACCCTGTATATATATAATTCACAAAACAATATAGTACGCGGAAAATTAAAATAATATTTATTTTATTATTCTTTATTTAAATTTTATTAAAATAACATCACTATTCTTGTAAAATATTGATATCAACTACTTTTGTAACATATCTCTAAATCAGAATTTTCTTATTATTTACAATAAGTAATTCAAATAAGAATGCAAAAAGGAACAAACCTATTTTTATGTCTTTGGTTGCCTTTCGTCCAACTAGAGGTACAATGGGAAAAATTCTCATAGTTTCTTTTATGACACCGTCCAAATAACGCATATATTGTAAGTCCTCGTACATGATTGGCGCATCTATTGTACTTTTAGTTCCATAAATTTCGCATAATTCTTCATATACCTTTTCCTTAATGTAAAATAAAGAATTCATTTAAATAAATGTATGCAAAATAATATTTTTATTAATAATGATCGAAAGAACATTGCCCTTGTTAAAACAATTTTCATACACAAATAATATATGTCTAAATCTGTGTATAATTCTTTGTAATTTTATATAATTCTATGAATTTATATGAAAAAAATTTTAAAAGGAAAATTTACTAATTTATAATTATATTTAACCCTTAAACTACACACATTCAAATTGAGACATACACTACACACTGGGGTCAATCTGACCCCACTAATTTAAACAATTGCTGCAATAATACTATTAATTTTTTGATGTTGTAAAAAATTAGACATATTATGTGAACATTAACAAGTAGGATAAACTTGGTCCGAGCCATAAATAATAATTGCAATAATTTAAAAAAATTAAAATGTAGAAAGAAGCTCAAAAAGTGCCATTTTTAACTTTAAATTCAATAACTTTTTCATTTTTTAATATTTTAACCTAAAAATTTAACTGGATACTCTTGAAACAATGTTCTTTAAGATAAAAATAATTGCAATAGTGCACATTCCAAAAAAGGTATTTACTTTGACAGCCGAAGGTGTAATATTTCGGAAAAATTGAAGGCACATTTTCATTTTTTTAAATTATTGCAATCATTATTTATGGCTAGGAAAACCAAGTTTATCCTAGTTGTTATGACTAGTTGTTTATCCTAGTTAATATGACATGTCTAATTTTTTACAACATCAAAAAATTAATAGTATCATTGCAGCAATTGTTTAAACTAGTGGGGTCAGATTGACCCCAGTGTGTAGCGTATATGTCTCAAATAGATAGTCTTTTGCGTGTAAAATGTTTTTTTCACAAAATATATGATAAATAAAGGTTGAATACATTATTTCAATACAGCATCTGACGTATGCTCCGAGTTCGCAAATTATACGCCATCTAAAATTTATTATAATTATTATAATTAATGTTATAACTAATTTAAAAAAATCACACGGTATATAAATTAATACCTACATTTTTCTAGTTGAAATGCAGTAAAATTGAACAAAAAAAAATTATTAAAAAATTCCTCCCAATATTCGTATACTACACATGGGGTCAGATTGACCCCAGCGTCTCGAAACGTCTACTTCGAACGGCTGTCACTAGTCAACTAGCACCTTGGGACCCACAACTAGTGTGTAGTCTTAAAAAGGAAGACTTCAACTACCAATAGATGACGCCATAAGTTCCAACTTCACATTTTATATAGCAGATATTTTAACGCAAACTTTTGTTGGGGTCAATTTGACCCCAGGTGTAGTTTAAGGGTTAAATATGTTTAACTACGTATACATATACTAACAATACAGGGTGAGTAAAAAGTACCGGACCGGTGAAATTTCTCGAAAAATGTGGAAGATACGGAAAAAATCTTCTAGGCAAAAGTTGTACGGTTTTAAAAGGGCTATATAATGGCAAAATAAATTAAAAAAAAAAAGTTTTTTATGGTTATATGGAGGCCGCCGTCATTTTTTAAATTGGAATTCCCTATTGTTTATTATACTATCTTATTCTACTAATTAATATAAACCACTTTTGTCTGAAACATTTTTTATTTGCCTAATACTTTTTGAGATATTCAAGAGAAAATTTATAACTTTTTCAATGTTTAGTTTATAATATCTCGATAACTGTTTGTTGGAGGGAAAAGTAGTACAGGACTTTTTTTACTTGATTTAGTCTCAGGAATATGCTGTCGCAATGGTGTTTCAATTATTGAAAATTTTTGTGTATGTAAATTTTATGTGTTACAATACACAAAAATTTTCAATAATTGAAACATCATTGCAACAGCATATTCCTGAGACTAAATCAAGTAAAAAAGTCCTGTACTATACTTTTCCCTCCGACAGACAGTTATCGAGATATTATAAACTAAACATTGAAAAAGTTATAAATTTTCTCTTGAATATCTCAAAAAGTATTTTTGTCTGAAACATTTTTCCATATCTCCCATATTTGTCGAGATATCTCACCGGTCCGGTACTTTGTACTCACCCTGTATATGTATACACAATTAGATAAAATTATAAATGACCAAGTTTTTTCATATAAATTTATAAAATTATATAGAATTACATAAAATTATAAAGAATTATAAAGACATACAATATTATATAGAAACATATTTAATATACATATACAGGGTGTCGGATTCGATATGGACGACTCCAAAGATTATAGTAGATTGGGTTAAACTGAGAAGAAAAGTTATATACCATTTTACAAAATCCGTAATTATTATCGCATTATTAAGAAAAACGTCTGAGCCAATAAGTGCACGGAGGAGCTGAAGGCCGGACTCGGCAGACATGCAAAATGGTGTATTATTCTCCTACCACCAGAAAAACTTTTTCGGCGCGTTGTCATATGTCGCACGTTCTCTCGCTGCGCGCCGTTCGCCCGCTCACCGCTCCCCGCTCGCCCCCGTCTCTCATCGATCGATGAGATCGTGACTCCACCTCTCGCTATCGATTCTTGAGAGATGTCAACAGTTACACCATTTTGCATGTCTGCCGAGTCCGGCCTTCCGCTCCTCCGTGCACTTATTGGCTCAGACGTTTTTCTTAATAATGCGATAATA